CAAGCTGTATGAAACACAGTGCATCCTTCATTATCACGAGCAGTAAAGAGCTCACTACGGAGAGAGCCATTGACTGAAAGAAGCAAAGCTTCTGCAGCATCATTACTACCAACAGCAGCTACCAAGTGTAATGGTGTCTCTCCTTTTTTGTTAGGAATTAAAAAATAACTGCTGGAGTGGCAAAATTTTACTAACAGTGACACAATTTTCTTTTTTCCCTTTTGACAAGCAAGATGAAGAGGAGTGTTACCATCTTTGTCTTGTGCACTAATATGAAGGTTAGTAGTGTGCAAGTCTTGAGGACTGTCTAATGAATATTTGACTCCACAAAGCCAATCTACAGCCACAGAAGGAATTGTCTTGTTCAGTAAATATTCAATCATTCTAAATCGATTGGCTAGTACAGCAACATGAAGTGGTGTATGTCCTTGATGATTGGTTGTATTAAGATCACAATAATTATTATCAACAAGATACTCTAATGTATTTAAACGACCATTGTTTGCTGATATGTGAGCTGACATGGAGCCTTTATTATCAGAAGCAGAGAGATTGCAATTTTTACCAATAAGATACTGAACCACTTCTAGCTGATTGTACATTACTGAAATAAGGAATGGAGTGTGACCGTGAACACTTTCAGGCAGTTCAAGTAGTGATGGTGAATGCTCTATAATGTACTTGACAGAGTCCAATCTTCCATTCCTACATGCCATGTGAATAGGAGCGATTCCATCATCATTAACAGCACACAGATCTAACTGATGATTCTCAACCAGGTGCTTGATTATTGGAAAAGATTCACTGCACATGCAGGCTTTGTGAAGTGCTGTAGATCCATTTAAAGTGGTGGCTGAAATATTACACTGAGGGAGACTAGTGAGATAAAGAACGACAGAAAAATGGCCACGTTCACATGCCAAATGAAGACTTGTACTACCAGTGGCAGAACTAGTGTTAACATCACACTGATACTCATTGATAAGTTGTTTCAGAAATTTTAATGCACCTTTATAAGCAGCTAAATTAGCTAATGTGTGTGAGTTAATGCTTCGGTAATTAGCAATATCCACACTATACTGCTTGCACCATTCCA